CACATCAGCAGGAAAGACCGTTTCCCCTGCCCCCTCCTCATTTTGTCCCGCACCAATTCTAAAGTTTATAAAGAGGTTGCCTCGGTGGAAGAATACCTCTTGCTTCGCCGAATAAAAATGTAGACAGCGCCTTCCTGCGTGGGAAGCTTATTCCTCGGGTGAGTTGTGTAAGGCCTTATTTTCAGCCTCTTTCTTTTCTTTCATTCATCGGCGCTGGCGATTGTCTAACCTTTTATTCGCCAGCAACAAGCGGTGGTGCCCATGTTTGCTCTCGTGTCCTGGATTCACCCCCGGCGATGAAGCAAGAAGGGCACACCTTTTGCACAACGGTGCCCTTCTCACACCCGTAGGCAGTAGGGTACGGCTAGTCCTCAACGTACAATCCCAGTCAAGCCCAGACTTTTATGTTGTTGAGCGAGAAATTTGTTAAGGGAGTTTCGCCCCTGCTTTCCTGACCACTTTCCTTTCCATATTTGTTAAGCGAATCACCGAAGTGGTTAAATTAGTTGTTAAGTGAACCTCAGTGGCTTCCCCCCGTTGTCTTTGCTTGTTCAGAAGGTCACAAAAGGGGATCACGTGAGCCTCGGTGTCCGCTTTGGAAGCCATATTGAGATCAGATGCTGCTCCCACGCTGCCACATCTGAGCCTGGGAAAGTGGGAGGGGGGAATTTATTGGAGTAGATCTAGTTCGACACAATAACATTCTTTTCCTGATTCAAGGTCAGGTTGTGTTGCACATAAGTGAGAGGAAGTCTTAACTTGGGATGGATGGTGATGGGGCATGTGATGTGATGATGGGTGCAGGGGATGGATTTTGTAGTTTTTAGTTATTATGGAACTTTCAGATTCAGGATTCCACAGTTGTGCCAATTACTATCCAAAATAAAAGGAACCTTTGAGAAGATGTCTGTCTCAGAGTTATTGGGCAGAATGGAGGGTTGCTGGAATGCTGACTCCTGGGACACTGCAACCGTCATAAGTAGGAGCCAGTTTGCAAGCATTTGAATGTAAATCACATGACTGTGGGGATGTTGCAATGGTTGTAAGTGTGAAAAACGGTCCTAAGTTACTTTTTTCCATGCCGTTGTAACTTTGAACGGTCACTGAGTGAACTGTTGTAAATTGAGGACTTCCTGTAATCCGTTTGCAAAGTGGCATTTCATAATCCCTGTTTCTTCTAAAGGAGTCAGCATTTTGATTCCTGCTGGACATGACAAGTCAAAGAAGATTAATATTAGTTACAATATTATTTTGGAGGCCTATGATATGGCATGGATTAATTTTTTGGAGGGAAGGGCATAGCATGAGAAATTGGGGGAAACAATAGCCTCAAATATCTGTCTCTTGGCTCAGAATAACAGAGTTGGATGGGACCTTGGAGGTCTTCTAGTCCAACCCCTTGTTGAGGCAGGAAATCCTATACCATTTCAGACAAATGGTTGTCCAAATCTCTTCTCAAAAACTTCTAGTGTTGGAGCACCCACAGCTTCTGAAGGCAAGTCATTCAACTGGTTAATTGTTCTCATTGTTAGGAAATGTCCCCTTAGTTCTAGGTTGCTTCTCTCCTTGATTAGTTTCCATCCATTGCTTCTTGTCTTGCCCTCAGGTGCCATGGAGAAGAGGTTGACCCTCTCTTCTTTGTGGCAGCCTCTGAGATATTGGCAGACTGCTATCATGTCTCCCTTAGTCCTTCTTTTTATTAGACTAGACATACCCAGTTCCTGCAACCGTTCTTCCTATGTTTCAGCCTCCAGCCCCCTAATCATCTTTCGTTGCAATGAAATTATAATGAAAGATTATGACTCTTTCACTATAATTTTATAATAGGCATTTCCCTGCATGAATATTGGCCGGTTGGGGACAGGATGAATAATCACAGCTATATTCTTTCTTATCTGTACTTGTTTTTCAATCAAGTAAGTGGAACTTCTTCTTGGTCGCCATCCTCTACTCTATAAGCCTCTGCATCCAATTTACCAGATCAGGTCAGATCATTTATTATACAGTTTCCATCAATAATATATCAGGGAACGGTAGAATTATATTTCACTTGTCTCTTCCAGATGGCCCTCGTGATTGACAATTGGTGTGATTGTTGCCTGCAGTTCATGTGGAAAATGTGCCAGCAGAGAGACTGTGTTCCTTCTCTGATCTGCCTCTCTGGCACGCAGGAAAGACTTCTGTGCGGCTGCAGCTATTTTTGACAGCAATTTCTCCATCATTCTTTGCTTTGTATTGAGTTCTCTTCTGTAGAGATGCTGGCTGCTGTAGTCTTCCAATATCTCAGGGGCTGCCCCAAAGAAGAGGGAGTCAAGCTATTCTCCAAAGCACCTGAGGGCAGGACAAGAAGCAATGGTTGGAAACTAATCCAGGAGAGAAGCAACCTAGAACTAAGGAGAAATTCCCTGACAGTTAGAACAATTCATCAGTGGAACTACTTGCCTCCAGAAGTTGTAAATGCTCCAACACTAGAAGTTTTTAAGAAGAGATTGGATAACCGTTTGTCTGAAGTGGTGTAGGGTTTCCTGCCTAGGCAGGGGGTTGGATTAGAAGACCTCCAAGGTCCCTTCCAACTGTCTTATTTTATGCTGGTGGACACATCTAGGAAAGCATTTTATCTACTGGAGCAAATATGACAAGTTCTGTCTAGGAGCTGGATCTGTCTAGGAACCTGATCCATTCTCGGATTTTAAGCAGTGTTAGGAATACAGGCAGTCCTTGACTTATGACAGAGGTCTCCAAACTTGGCTATGCTGGCTGAGGAATTCTGGGAGTTGAAGTCCACAAGTCTCACAGTTGCCAAGTTTGGGGATCCCTGACTTAGGATCACAACTGAGCCCTAACTAAGCAAGTCACCTACTTGTTAAAGTGTGCCCCATTGTATGACTTTTCTTTCTGCAGTTGTTAAGGTGATCACCACAGTTGCTAAGTGAGTGACATGGTTGTTAAGTGAACCTGGCTTCCCCGTCGACTTTGCTTATCAGAAGGTCACAGAAGCGGATCACGTGACCCCTGGACATTGCAACCCTCCCAAATATGAACCAATTGCCCAGCACCTATATTTTGATCATGTGACCGTGGGAATGCTTCAAAAGTTGTCAGTGTGAAGAACGTCCATGAAACTTTTTCCAGTGCCATTGTCACTTTGGAACGGTTGTATGTCAAGCATTAGCTGATAACTTTCAGACAGGGAATTCATAACTTTGAACAGGGGCTGCCATTTACCTTGGTTGCAGGTAAGATTCATACAGTGGTACCCTGGTACTCATCGTTAATTGGTTCTGGGAGGTATGACGAATGCTAAAAACAGGTGCCACCTGACTAACCCTTTGTTTCGGCCAGCAAGAGTAGCGAGACACAAGGTAGCCAACTCTGCTTGCTTACCAAGTACTAAACAAATGATGAGTACCAGGACAAAATTTTCACATCAAAATGCATCAAGTACAAAATTTGGCGACTTTCAGAGCAGTTGAGTACCTAGGTGCCACTGCATTAGGAATCCTGTATTGGTGGAACCAAATTTCCAGCCCCTGTAGCGAGTGGTGCTCTGAATTGGCCAGGAATTAGGCCTTGTAGATTATTACTCCATATGGCAAAAGTCTATCTTCAACAAAAGACTTCAACTCCCAGAATTCTTGAGCTAACACGACTGGAGGAGGAATTCTGGGAGTTGAAGTCCACAAGTCTTAAAGCTGTCAAGTTTGAAGGCCCCTGGTTATAACCATAAGCCTTTGGGCTTTTTGTACCCTGTTTTTTGCTATCTCTTAGCCTTCCATCTTTCCGAGGTGGGTAAAATGAGGGCGCAGATTGTTGGGGGCAAGAGGCTGACTCTGTAAACCGCTTAAAGAGGGCTGTAAAGCGCTGTGAAGCGGTATATAAGTCTAAGTGCTATTGCTATCTTCCCTTCCTGCTTACCTTTATTTACATTACACATACCCAGAAAGTGTTTTGTCATATTCTGTTTTTTTCTCCATATACAATATTTTTTTTTGTGGGGGGGGTGGTGGTGGCTGGGGTTTTACATTTTTATTAAGAGATATTTAGTGTTTAATGAACGTCATGTTGTCTGGGTATTTAGTTTGCTTAACAATACATACTACATTCTTAATCTCCACCCCCTTTCCCCAACCATTGATAAAATAGATTGCATGTTTGCTAATATTCCTTATCTTCTTTCTGTTTAATTCTTAATGTCAGTCTGTCCACTTCTGCACACTCTAGTATTTTTTTAAATTATTTCTTCATCTCGTGGTGTTCCTTCATTTTTCCAGGATTGCGCAAATACATTCCTTGTGTGTGTCAAAACATTCAATATTAAAATATTTTTCTTCTCTAGTTTACCTGGTATTATACCTAATGAAATAATTCAGGTTTAAAATCTACATGCTTTCCTCTCATCTTTTCCAGCCATTTGTGTATTTTTCCCCCATATGCAATTTCTGATCATACAGTTTTAGATTCAATTGCATGCATTAAAAACACATGCTAGCGTGAAGGATGGGATTCTTTCTTATCAAGTACACACAGAAATTGTTTCAATCTCTCTCCCAATATTTGGACTATTGAACATTCAATTCCTGACAAAATGTTTGGTCAGCATCCCCACCAAGTATGGTAATTTTTCTTCTCAGCGAGAATTATTTTTAAGCATTAAGAGGACGGTAACGACACCATCTCTCTGTGGCGCAGTGGTTAGAGTGCAGTACTGCAAGCTACTTCTGCTGCAGCCAGCAGTCTACAATTTGGCAGTTCAAATCCCACCAGGCTCAAGGTTGACTCAGCCTTCCATCCTTCCGAGGTGGGTAAAAGGAGGACCCAGATTGTTGGGGGGCAATAGGCTGACTCTGTAAACCGCTTAGAGAGGGCTGTAAAGCACTATAAAGCGGTATATAAGTATAAGTGCTATTGCTATCTGCAAAGTTGCTTTCTGGTTTGATGCTAAGGAAATTCTACAGGAGGATTAGCACTTCAAAACATCCGTTTTTCTCTTTTTCACTCAGCTGAAGAACAAATTCATGAAGAAGTTACCTCGGGATGCTGAGGCCTCCAATGTGCTGGTTGGAGAAGTCGACTTTTTGGAAAACCCTTTTATTGCCTTCGTGCGGTTACAACAAGCAGTCATGCTTGGCGCTCTGACAGAAGTCCCTGTACCCACTCGGTAAATGAGCGTTTTCTATCTGTTGCTGTGCATTTTTTAAAAGAAAAAAATAACATTTAAAGTGTAAAAATGAACCTACCATCAAATGATTGCTTTATTAAGCCATGCCACAAAAAGATATTATTTTCCACAGAGAGTTTCTGAAAAACGTCTTTTTTTTCCCCCATTGCTGTTGTGAAATGGTCGCTTAGAGGTTTTCCAGAAATTCTCCATGGACGTGTCAGCCAGCATGGCCTCAGTAACATGTGGCAGTCTGTTCTGGGAAGATTAATTTTGATTTTAATGTAGCTGTCTGTAAAAATGTTCATTTCCCTCATGTTGAGTTTGCTGTTTGCTCTCATTAAAAAAAAAAACACATGGCATTTACTTTGTTGCAATACAGCCATTTGCTTTCTTCAGAACCTCTTTATTTATTTAGATGGCAGTTCTAATTAGCTGATTGAAAATAAATAATTTATGCCGTTGGCTTCTGCAAAGTATCGCAGTGAAAGCTTTCATTTCTCCAAGAATTGCACACGTACCACGTATTTGCATAGTAGTTGTTAGCCAATGTCACTGAAATTTGTTGTTGCAAGAAAATGAGGAAGAAGCTTAAGAGAGAGAATTTGTTTTTGTTTTTTTTGAGAAGGAAGTCATTGGTTTTAATCTAAAGAAACCTCCTGGGCAAAGCTTATGGCCATGAGTGTATCACTTGGCTAACAACTTGTGATGTCCCTACCTGGAGAGATTGAATAAATCTTTATGTGACAGCGGCACATTAGCTGGAATGTCTGATTGGAGGCTAAAACATATGAAGAACAATTGTAGGAACTGAGTACATCTAGTTTGTTGAAAACAAGGATTAAAGGTGACAAGATAGCACTATTCCAATATTTAAGGGGCTGCCACAAAGAAGAAGGGCTCAACCTATTCTCCAAAGCCCCTGAAGGCAGGAGAAGAAGTAATGGTTGGAAATTAATCAAGGAGAGAAGCAACCTAGAACTAAGGAGAAATTTCCTGACCTTGAGAACAATTAATGGAACGGCTTGCCTTCAGAAGTTGTAAATGCTCTAACACTGGAAGTTTTTAAGAAGAGATTGGATAACCATTTGTCTGAAATGGTATAGGGCAGTGATGGCTAACCTTTTCGGGCTTGTAGCACCCAGAAGGCAATGCGCAATCCTCCATGCCCCCCCTGCGCATGCGCACGCAATCCCCCCGCTGCCCCTTTACCTGCACTGCACCTCCCAGCTGATTTTTGCCCCGTTTGAGGCCTTTTTCGGCCTCCCAGAGGCTTCAGGACAGCTCCTGCAGCCTTTGCAGGCCAAAAAATAGGCCTGTTCGGAAGTGACGAAACGGGGCCTATTTTTCGGCCTACAAAGGCTGCAGAAGCTGTCCTCAAGCCTCTGGGAGGCTGAAAAAGGCCTCAAGCAGGCAGTAAATTCCTGGAAGGCGCGCGCGTGCTCAGTGAGGTAAGTTTGCCTGCGGCTCACGTGCCGGCACAAATGGCTTTGCGTGCCACCTGTGGCACGCGTGCCATAGGTTCACCATCACGGGTATAGGGTTAGACTAGAAGACCTCCAAGGTCCCTTCCAGCTCAGTTATTTTGTCTTGGATGGTCATATGGGCTAATTTATAGGTATTCCTCACTGGTGCAAAAAAAAAACTGTGAGACTATTGCTTCTCTTTGAAATTATTTCCCATCACCAAACTGTCAGTCTTCACAGGTAGATCAGACAGGAAACCCAGCCAGATGAGATAATTCTATTCATTGCAAGGTTATATTTACAGAATCTTGCAAGTCCGAAAGCACAAATCTTACTCTGTCTTCTTTACAGTCTGAGAATTTCAGGACAGCCCCTTCTGAGCCTCTATTCTCCATCCATTATGTGGCTGGAGGCTATGCCTTCTCTTATCTAACCATTCCCTCTTTTTTGCTATTTTTTCTTCTTTGTATTTGCTTTTTGTCTGAGTAAACAATCTTAATAAACGATGTGTGTGGATTTCCACATGATAATAACACTGCTTTTCTTCCTGGGGTTCAGGTTCCTGTTCATTTTGCTGGGTCCAAAAGGCAAAGCAAAATCCTACCACGAAATTGGTCGATCCATTGCCACTTTGATGTCGGATGAGGTAATTTTCCTGTGTGCCAATATGTTTGTAGTCTCCCCGAGACCACAGTGTGCTAAACTTTTAATGCTTTCCTTCAAAAATCGTGGGTGTTCCATCACTGGAGGTTTTTAAGAAGTGACTGGACATCCGTTTATCTGAAATAGTATAGGGTCTCCTGCTTGAGCAAGGGGCTGGACTAGATGACCTCCAAGGTCCCTTCCAGCTCAAATAATTCTTTACAGATAGTGAAGGCTTCATTTGGACATGTAGATGGGTGTTACTTAAATAGGATGAATATAATTGTATAAATCTCTGCAAAAAAATATCTAGATGGCCTTTTTTCTCCTGCATCTGATCTCTTCATTCCTTCATCCCTTTATAGGTATTTCACGACATAGCCTACAAAGCCAAAGACAGGCAGGACCTGATCGCTGGGATCGATGAATTTCTGGATGAAGTAATTGTGCTTCCTCCTGGGGAGTGGGATCCCGCCATAAGGATAGAGCCTCCCAAGTCTCTTCCATCTTCTGACAAAAGGTAATTGAG